AGCCCTGACTCGGGCTAAAAATTCAATTTAAAAAAATTTTAAGTTTCAAAAAATTATCGTTTTTTGCGTCTTTAAAAATTCAGTTTTTTTTTTAATTCCGCCACGGGCGAAAACATGTCTATTCTGGAAAACGCCAATATACGGGTCCGCTTATTTCTGAGCATGAACAATTAAAAACTAAGTCCGGTGACTTGTATGCATGTGTGTATTTGGTCTTCTTGAAAATTTTTCCGCAGTACACAAATGTGTGTAGTTAGTCCCCAACGTAACGGGGAAATACTACACAAATATGTGTACTTGGTCCTTTACGGAAAGAAAAAAACTACACAAATATGTGTAGTTGGTCCCCAACGTAACTACAAAATAGTACACAAATGTGTGTACTTGGTCCTTAACGGAAAGCAAAAAAGTACACATATTTGTGTACTTGGTCCCCAAGGGAAAGCAAAAAACTACACAAATATGTGTAGTTGGTCCTTAACGGGTTAACGATATTCGCAGAAAAATATGCATAATTATATGTGCCTGAAATGTAACCTCACCAACTATATAATTATAAAGAATTCAAATTTCGCAAGGCAAACCTCATTAATATAAATGTTTTCCGAGAAATTGCTGCCTACGTTAAGTAATTCCCTCCACCTCGCAGTGTTATATAAAAAACTGTGCAATTTCTTACAATAGTGTCTAACACATCTCCGCAGCACCACAATGGAAATACTCTCAGTCTTATCATTTCTAATATCCTTTCTAACTGTCCATTTTGTCCATACCTTGACAAACTTTGACCTCAATCCAAACTGCTTACTAATAACGGCACAAATAATCAAATCATCTGATACACCTATATCTGATTTCAACCTCAAATATGATACCCACTTATCGTCCGCCCATCCGAGCGGCATTGTCCTGAAGCATTTACTTCCAAATAATTCCCCCTCTAAAAAGAGATTCCCCATGTATAAAATATCCTGCGTTGAATTTGTAATTTTCAATGATCGTGGAACTTTGCATGGGTTTTCTCATGAGTTTGACAATTGGGGATATCATCAAAATGTCGTCCTGTACATTGTATTTCCTCATCGTGGCTATGACATTTTCTACGAAATAAAGGACTACTTTATACATTTCAAGCATTTATCTGTTCCAATTTATCTAATAAGACTGGATTTTAGACTGAAACTAATCCTCGCCCAATTAATTGATCCAGTAAATAATTCAGGCAAAGAAGAGAGGGAAATATACCTAATGGAACATAATGGGGACGAGGTGGACATGTTTCCTTCCGGCAATGAGTTGATCTCATCGAGGCGATTGCGTGATTACAGCCAAAATCTGCTCAAATTGCTGATAGACCCTGATTATTTGACTGCCCTGACAAGCAGAGATTGCGAAAATCATCGCTACTTTATATCTAAGGGAACAAAATGTTTTGTATTACACGGACCACTTCAAGTTTTGCAGAGGAGACTGAATTTTACATTTTTTACACATCGGTAGTAAAACAGGTAGTATTTTTAATAATTTTTTTCAAATAATCACCGTTTTTTGTAGTGAAAGGTCCAACCGATTTTCAAAGTTTGGGATCTACAACCAAATGGAAAATTTCGGGTTCGAACCCGGACTAAAAATACACATCCAATCAACTATGGATTTTCATGTGCTGTATTGTCAGAAAAACCCGACTTTGTTATCATTAAAGATTTCCAAGTTTTTCACCATAATTGATACATGGACTTGGATAGGGTTCCTTGTACTCTCATTGTTTCTAGGGATTACAAAGTTCGGTGGATACTCGGATATTGCGGCAACATTTCTCAGAGTAGCGGTACTTTCTAGGTAAGATTAGTTTTAATAGAGATTAGTAATCATCATACATTCATTTATTCTTCAATCCCTACTCGTGTTGAGTCACAACATTTAAACATGAACAGGGATAAATAAATAAATCAGTAACCGGAGTCCCGTACTGACCAATGTTAAAATAGTGAATATATTTTCTAGGAATCCTCTTACCTGGTTTGGATTGCTTTGCATTATTGCAATGATTGTCGTCAGCTCATCTTACGACGCTACAATTACAGTGCCCAAACTTGTCTGGCCCGGCCCTGGGAACTTTTCCAGGCCCGGCCCCATTTAATAATTGGCGTTTATGCATGTGATTTTAATTATAACCTTGTCAAATTCAAAGCAATATGATGATAAGCTTGTAAATGACGTCCAAATTCGTTAAGACTTTATTGAAGAATACTGGGATGGGAGCATGATTAACGTCCATTGTGGAATGATCACTTACTAGGTTATCTCTCGAAACAAGTTAGCCTCCCACATACTTTCACTTTCGAAAAGCGAGAAATTTCTTTGCAGCAAGGAATGTTGGGGAATTTATTCAAAACCCTTTAGAATATATTAGTGTCAATTTCTAGGTTTCATCTTTGGTATGGGGCAAAGAAAAACTAGATATCTTTCTTATGTTTTAAAATCAACTGCAACCGGCACGGCTTACATTACATTTGAGAAAAAATTCAATCGCAGCTGATGTGATGGTGGCGCACATACCTATCCGTATATAATTAGTTATAATAAAATAATAATAATAAATAATAGTTACAAAAAGTAGTCGCTAGTGTACAATACCTACTGTGTATTATTATCTCAGGCGAGGGCGCTCATTGTGATGCCCATTCTCTCAATCTTCTCCACCTTCCATCTACATCTTGTTCCATGATCAACTGCGATCTAAATATTTTCTAGTTCCCTGAGCTAAAAAAATGTATACATACATAGGTATTAGCTATTGTTGCCACTCGTGTAAAAATGAAATAACCTATATAAATTCCAATAAACCAGAATGGTGAAGGGCGGCCTCGGCCAGTTGGAAACATCTTTTGGGCTAAGGCCTCGGCCCCTTTTAGGATTTTGAGGTCGAGAGCAATGAAATCTGTGGCCGCCAATTATTTTGAAAATGAACAACTTTCAAAATAATGGTTAACCTAAGGCTTCGGCGAAGTCCAGGCCGACCTCGCCGGGGCTTATTTTCACAACGTGAGGCGAGCATAGAAATGATAAGGCCTTGAAACTAGTGCTGTTCATGAGCCGAGCTGAGCGAGCTATTTGTTGACCCGACTAGCCTCGATAATAAATGAGTCTAGCTAAATTACCTCGAACCGGGCTAAAGTACTGACACGAGTCGAGCGCCAAAGTTAACTAGCTGGGCCGAGCCAGCGCGAGTTTTCCTGAAGTTCTATGAAATGTAAGCACAAAAAACTTTAAATTATACAAAATGTACCGATAATGTGTGTTCTCAATTATTCTTTGCTTTTGCTTCGCCATTGGCACGCTGCGCAACTGCTCAAAATCTTCTAAACATTTAAATAATTGCCCTTGTAAATTTTTTGAAATTGACACCAGGGCCCGGCCCCCTTCGGGGCCCGGCCCTGGGGAAAACCCCCACCTGGCAGCCCCTCGTAAGGGCCCTGTACAATTACCATCGACATAACAACCCCTCATTTTTATCATTTTTAAATATTCATGAGCTATTCGGCGAATTTGGATTTAAATTACACTCACCACATATTACAAAAAATTTGACCCGGCTACGATTGTCGATTCGAAAGGATTTGCCAAGCTCCGGAAATTATATTTGGGAAGGAGGTATATGTTAGACCCTTTTTATTTTTATGCCTCTTCGCGCTTTAATTATTTAATTATTCTTTTCAGAAATCCCTGCAGAACTAATACACACGCAATTTCCTGCAGCCGCCATTTTTGCAGATCGCATCGCTTTCCAACCAACTTCACATAATGTGCAAACAGTTTTATATGCTTTGAAGAATAGGTATCCTAACGTGACTTGTAATATTGTAAAGGAAACATTTTATACGAGTAACGTCTTTTGGATATTTAAGTATTTTGGATGGGAAGGATTATACCATAATTTGCAGTTTATAAGTTCCAACGGACTATTCCAATTGTACGAAGGACTTTGGAAATTCGTAGATGAAAGTGATGCCAGAAATCAGCCGGCCCCATTACCGGAGAGTATTGGAGCATTGGAAAATCATTTTGTTGCTTTTCAACTGTACTTATTATTTGGTGGGTTTGCAATTCTTATGTTCTTCGCGGAAATTATAATTTCTAACGTTCAGTAACTGAACTTCAGTTTGGAACTGATTTTAAAATTTCTGTTATAATGTTGAAATTCAGAAGTGTCTGCCACCACGTGGGAGTTTCCAGTATTTCTGTAATGCGTTTATTTAAAAGTGTATGTAGGCAAGTTGTCATAGATGTGAGAAATTTTATGCATAAATTGGTAACTGTATGTAACAAGGGCACAATTAACTTAAGAAATTGTACGTATAGGATGGAAAATTATATTTCCCATTTAAATATTGAAAAATTGCTAAACTTAAGACATGGTTAGGTCGACACTCGATATATCAAGGAATGGTTCTTGAAAACTTAACGATCTCATAAAATTTGACGATGCAAATGATGCCTCGCAAAAGATGCGAATTAACCAAGGCATCACAATATAATTACTTTATGTAAAGAGTTGGTTTTTATGATTATTGGTTAACTACACTCAAAATAAAAATTTGTCGAATCAACACCGCCGGTGTCAATAGATGACTTTACCGCCTTGGTTACAATGTTGAATCCGAGTTATGATGATTTTGATACAGGTCGTTATAATTTTATGACCGGACGGAAAAAATTCATTACTACTCGGAATCACAATTGTAGCCAAGGCGGTTAAGTCATCTATTGACACCGTTTTGTTGTGAGTGTACGTGACCAAAGTGATGCTTTATCAAACGCATCGCAATTACTGGCTAGATAATTTGAAATCCAGCAACAAAATGAGTGACCAGTGTCCTAGTCAGAACGCTATGCTTAATCCCCTAATTCAATAAATATTTCAAAATGCTCAACTATTTATTCGAATAAAGTTATACATGTTCGCAGTAGTTGTATTGCAACCGAACATTACCAAATACCTATTTCGCCAGCAGCGGTGTCACTCTGATCAATCGACACCCATGAGTTGGCACTCTGACCGCAAAACTGCTCGTATACACGCCCAACTCAATTCCTTCCCAGACATCGTACACCTCTGCTGCCCCAGTGAATCCAAAATCCGCCCAATTTGCCGCCACGGATAACTCGAGTCCAGCCAAGTTGAACATGGCCACGATAAAACTCGTGTCCCCAATACTCGGCGCCCACCAGACTTGTCGCAACAAACCCGGGGTCACAGGTCGAGCCGGGATGCCGTTTTGGTTGATCGCGATAACTTCCCGATTTGTTAGTAAGGTCAAACCAAACTCGTCGAGGAAACTGAGGTCATCCCCGATGTACAGGGGGGCGCAAGATATAGCCCATAAGGTCATGTAACTCCGACGCTCATCCTCCGTTAAACCGTCCATTGTTCCATTTCCGACATTAATCGTGTCCAAATCATTCCATCGTCCCGGACCGGCGTGATCGATCCAAGGAACGATATCGGCGAAGCGTTGGACGACAGATTGTGTCCAGCGGACGAGTGTGTCACAGTAGCATTCGACGTCGGTATCAATTCGCCAACCGGAGGCGGACGCGGTCCAGTCGGAGATAAAGGTGATGTCGAGCTCCCAGCTGATTTCGAGGATGACAGGGCGACCCGTTTTTTCGAAGGCGGAGCGCCAAGCCGCTACATCGGGGCTAGATTTGATTTACAAAAATTTATTGATTATTTGTAGGCAGTACGTAAGTCATGTGAATTGGTTACCCCTCCCACAGGGTAAGGGAAACCTCATGATTTTTGTGCTTGAAAACGTATACCCAATGGTTTGACCTGGGTTTGGCGGGTAGTCGGAGTTCTCGTGGTTTTGTGGGTCAACTGAGTCAATGTCTCGTGTATTAAGTAGCACAAGGCATTGTTTTTTTTAGTAATGTCGCAAAAAATCCGCTTATTAATTCAATTTGAATGACTAATTAGTTTGTAGAATTGTTAGTAATGCGTTCTTGCCATCTCCTATTAAATGTAAAAACCCCGACTACCCTGACTACCCGTGGATATGGTAAAATTTGCTACCCCAAAGCCCACCAAGACCCCCAATACCTACCCCAAAAACCCGGGCTTACATACCCTACTGTCCACAATCTGTAGCATCAATGGAATTCCCCACTTACCCGAGATATTTTTAAGATAATATTTTTTATCCTACCGATTATCATAATTTGACCCATTTTTTCAACTTCCCGGTCCAACCCCGTCCAACTTGAAGAAATCAATCCCCCAAGAAACAAACAACTCGGCAATAGAATCAATAAACTCTTGCGCGCAGGGATTGTCGAAATCCATCTTGTACGAAGAATCCCAGCCATTCGTCGATCTAAAATCGGGGTAAACTAAATCAAACCCGGTACAGTTTCCGGAAGGTCCGGAAACGTCAAAGTTAATCTTGTTGTCTTGATCCGACCCAAAAACCCCCATCGGGAGTCCGACAGGGGCATAGATTCCTAACTTTAATCCCCTCTCGTGCGCATAATTTGCAACAAAGTCGATTCCTCGGGGAAAACGGTCACCATTCGGAATAGGACGACCGCTCAGGTCGAATCCAGCGTTCCAGTTGAAGTCAGCATTCCAACCGGAATCTATGTTTATGTGGTTGTACCCAAATTCCAGTAGGGTCGAAGACATGACGTCGATTTGGCGGAGAACGTTGTCCTCCTTGAGCCAAGAGAGGCCGTGACCCGGCATCGTTGTAGCTTGAAGAGACCATGATGACCAGCCCATGTACGGACGGACGGGTTCTTGACCTTGGGCGATCTGTAGTGAAATAAGTTAGTCAAGGTTGAGTAAAAAAGAGGATGATACAACCAAAAAGTGAAATTTACCCAACCGTTGTGCAAAATTCGTCTAAAGTTGTGTAACATTTGTCTAGTAATTTTGTACAAAGTTGGCAAAGTTTTCACTCAAAATAGAGGATGACACAACCAAGATTGGTTGTGTCATCCTCTATTTTTACTCAACTTTGAGTAAATTTTACTTAATTTTATTTAGAGTGTATATTAGAATAAGGGGCCATCCATAAATTATGTCACGCAAAAATCGATATTGTTCTCACCCACTCCTCCTTTAACATGTTTGACACAGGCACGATAGCACCGGAGCTTTGGACCCTACACCCCCCCCCTTCCCCCTCTCGCCTGACATAATTTATGGACGTTCCCAAAAGAACTTTCGTTTAAGATATTTCCCTTATGGAAAATCAAACATGCATACGAATTAGTCTCCAAGTTTTCTGCATAATTTTACAAGTCATGCCCCTATTGTACTATGGTTATGATGATTTTTCCATTTTCCAAATTAGTTATGAAAAAACATGTAAAAATGATGGACTTACATTGCAATTCGCTTAAATTTATTTGAAAAAAATATGTAGTGAAAATAATATTAAAGTCATGCTCGGAATTACTTGTGCCAAAAAGTTGATTAGATCTGTCACTATTATTAAGATTAATTAAATAATCCTTACTTACCGTTACGCCAATTATCAAAATTGCAGACAAATTCAGTAAAATCATAGTAGTTGTGCAGTTTTTTTCAATTTAAGTAAAATTTTGGTTGTGTAGATGTTAATTTATTTAGCGAGCATATGCACAAGTGGCACACCTTAAAATACTGTCAGTTACTACTGCATAGTAACAAAGTAGATATGTATTATTGCAATCATGATAACTTCAACTTATCAAAGATAAGGAGGACCGAAATATAACTTATATTATATAATGCGATAAAGGAAAATTGTAATTAATTGATGACGATGTATCTCATTCTTCCCAGCTTGAGGACGGGATCTCAACTCAATAACTAAAAATTCAAACCCAACCGCCACTAGGTGTAGTTCTCAGTGAATTTTTTATATTTTAACAAAAATATGTTATGTGGTATTTCATTTTTCATATGTCGATCAAACATCTTCGACTCTGCCAGATCAGCGTTAATTTTCGAGTGGATATCACCCTTATAAATTCAGAAAAGCTTAAGTTTTAAATATGGGGATAAGACGCAATGTTAATAACATCAGTAATTACAATTATGTAGATGATTATTTGATAAGCGGACATATATGCTTATCGTACAAGCCACTCCCTCGAAAACTTATGACACCAGACAACTCATGATTCCCATACTTTTATTTCTGACAACAAAAGCTGAAAATATATAGCTCTTCTCGTCAAGAAAAATCTGGGATTAGTTTGCCCGAAATAAAAGTGCGGAAATCATAAATTACATATTGGTAAAGCTGGTATTAAACTGACATTAAATCATCATTGACCGGAGTCGGTAACAACGATCGGTAACAGTAACAACGATCATTACCGTTCAGTAATGTCAGTGAAGAATTTATATTTGTCAGTGAAGAAGTTACCACATAAAAAAACCACAACCAATTCGGTAAGACCTTGTTACCAATTCAATATTGTTATTCAATAAAAGTAAGACATACATATATGTGACAGCAGTGTTCATGTGGTTAAAGAAGTGTTGCAAAGTGCGTGTGTAAATATATGCATACATACGTATGCACCATTAAATGTCATATAAATTTGATTTTGAAATCCAATCACAAATTTACCACAATTATGTATTTAAATACCCCAAAAGTAATGGGGTATTTCCTTTTTATTAACATCGATCTTTTGGCAAATACTCGATAACATCTTCCGGATATCTGGTAGCTCGTAGTTTTCCACCGCATTGCGACATCTGATATCCATTTAATCTTTCTTCCTGATATGCGAGTAAAAAGCCTTCGGTCCAGTTAAACTTGGCCGCCACGAGGTCATAGTAATCGCCTGCGATTGAGGTCGGTGTGTCCACGATGTATCTTCGTGACGAGGTCCCCCTTGCGATGTGGTACGTCTCAACGCCAAAATCGGCCAAATGAGTGTCCACATCGTAACGCGACGTGCATTCCAACCTAGTCCTTGGATAATACCAGAGCACACTTTGGCACATTTCCTCATACGTGGAACGTCCGCCGATTACGGGTTTTCCCTTACGCCAAATCGACGAGTACGTACACTCGACGGACATCTGGTCTCCAGGGAGAATTTGACGGGTATCGAGAAGGACCTTGTTTTGTTGAAAGTCAAAGTCGTAATGGTTGTCGAAATCGATCCAAGGAAGTTCAAAGTTCCCGCGGAAGTGTCGCGTCCTCATTTTTCTACCTGAAAGAAGGGATGAAAGTGATGAGAAAGCTAAAGCATTCTCAGTCTGATTTCTTTGAAACTCGAATTTATGACAAAATAGTCTTCCAAACGAAGCACTTGAAAATAAAAAACCCCGAAATGTCCTTAAACTTTTTTATAGTTTTGTTTATTAACTTACCCGATTTGTGCGAGTGGAGCATCGAAGCGAACACGGTGATCCCTTCGGGTTCAAGTGCTTCGTACGTGCACTGTGGACTACAATGGCCCACGACTTTGAAGGCATCCTGGTTTGGCGGGATGGTCAGCGAAATATCTACACCTTGACCAATAGCGAGTATTCCCGCGTCGATCGGTCTCAACTCGGTCGTGTAATACATGGCCAACCCCGTTTCGAAGGAAACACCCTCTAACCTATCCGGATTATCGTAATGAACTTCAACCATGTAATATTGCACGGTTGACGTTTCTCCAATAGGGAAGCCCACATCTTCAGGAAATATCATCTGTATAAATGTACGAATATTTAAGTTCATAATTGGTAAAGAGTAGTAAATACATATGTAGTAATGATCCTTAGCCGGATTCTAACACGTAGACCCTTAAACATTTACGGGATTGTCAGTTATTCAACTTACCTTGCCGCCCTTCGCCCACGTGTAGACGATCGACTCACACTGCGCGATTGGGAGGAATTGTGTCGTAGAGCAGTGATCGCCTGAGTTTCCGCTGGCATACGTGAATCGATCAAAGGCCTCCTCGTCCGTCTGACCAGGAGGGGCGTGACACGAGTAGACCACAAAGTGGTGAGTGTGCTGAACCGAGTGTCTGCCTGGCAGCAAGGTGTCAAACTATTGGGAAGAATTAATTCACATTATTAGTGGGTCGTAGTGGGTACTTTTGAGGATCGGGTTTAGCTACCGACGACTGATTAGTTTTATGTGTACAAACTTTTCTCTCTCCTGCTTAGATAGTTGGGGAACTATCTAGATGATACCCAAGGATCCTGAGTACAATTCTCAAAGTTTCTCACCGCAACGATGTGATGCTTTTTAGTCAAAAGGAGCCCTTTATGGAATGTACACCAATATGTCGTGTCAATCGCTGGCATCGTTATGTTCATCACGATCGTGTAATTTTGTAATTTCGAAAACTCAAGTTCCGGTCTCGCGGCATGGATCAAATTCACACTTGTCGTCCCGCGAAAATTTTAAAACAGTCGTATTTTCCGCCGGTACTTCATACGCTTTCAACAGTCTCCAATCCTGCCGAGTATCCAAAATCGGCATGGTCTCATCAGTGGCGTGGAAATCCTGAAAAATCAGTATATTTTGCATGTAATAATTTAAACATTCCAAAACCCAAAACTACCTACAACTCAAAATGCATTTTAGGGGTCGTAGATATGTAAATTATGTAGCGCAACAGTTCCGATTTTATTTCATTTGAAGCCTTTCACCCGCTCACGCTCCCTATTTCGCATTACATTATTTAATAACGTCCCCCTGAGACAATTGGCATACTTATGTACAATAGAGGTCTCCCAACGTACGCTTACAGATTTAGACCAAGTTAGTGTCAATCGATGACAAATTTAATTAGTATGAAATTTGGAAATGACACTATCTCCCAATTCAAAGGTGTGGCGCTGATATTTACATAAAAAGGTACGAAGCGGCACAGCTAGGGTGACCATATTTGTCCTGACTAAAACCGGGACATTTTTTGGCCACAAAATTTTTACATAATATCTAGTGCTTGGCGAAAAAATTGTCCATAATATCTAGTGCTTGGCGAAAAAATTTGCCATAATATCTAGTGCTTGGCGAAAAAATTTGCCATAATAGAGATTACTTGGCGAAAAAAATTGCATAATATCTAGCTTGGCGAAAAAAACTTTCATAATATCTAGTGCTTGGCGATTCAGATATCACCGAATTTTGAGAATTAGCCAGGAAAGGAAATTAAGTAAATATTACATGCATGTTACTACCCTAGTCGCCAAGATTGAACGGCCCGACAGTGGTATTCGAGTGGCCAATAATGTCGGCCGAAGGTACCATCTTGTCCTCGTGTTTTAAGTCGGGCCGTGGGTGGCCAAAATTATCGGGCCGAAGGTTGGAAATGTTTTTCCCGACCTCGTGCCATCAGCCGCCCACCATCCTACCGATCCAATGCCATGGTTGGCCCCAACCATTCCCCAACGAATTTTAATAATCTCACACTGTTTATTTCTGATTTAGTTCATTTATTTGATATCATGTAGTAATGGAAAACAGACAAAGTTCTCTTTAAAGGGTAACAAAATACATCTATGTGCAATTTGTAAACAATTCAGCTCACAAGTTTTTTTCATTTCATTTCCTAAAATAAAAATTCCTAACTTACAACTACTTATAGGTTTTTCGTATAGTGATTTTTTGTTACTAAATGTTTCGTAATGAACTATTTTAACATTTTAAAATCTATTGTACGTAATTCTTCGAACTATAATAATTTGACCAGAATTCAGAGAATAACAGCTATTTACAATTATTTTGTTTGCTTGAAAATTTTCGCGTTTCTCGTCTAATTCTCTCTTAATAACGTTACACTTTTCGTTTTCTACGATTCTTTTTGCAACCTGTTGGAGATAAAATGTTTTTGTTCTTGTCATTTTCTTCAGTTGCTGCATGAAATTTTCAAAACCAAACGCACTAATATTATCTAATTGTCCGAAGTTTAGAGCGTCCTCATGAATATGTGATAAACCATGGACATTATAAACCATAAAATTACTGTCATATACGACTCTGCATTGTAAAATAAATTTTGTCAACAACCGCCTGGCTAAAGCGTTCCACTCGGGGTCATCAGCATTGGCCGATAAAAGAATAAACATAGCACAATGAAAATAAAGGAAATGAATGTAATACTTCTCCGGTAAGACATTTTTCAGTGCTACTGGACCTGTGTACAGCATTATCGTTCTAAATTCCGTGGCCTTAAAATTATCAATCTCATTCAAACTTCTTGGTCTTCGCTGAAAATCACGAGGCATAAACGTTTTGAAATTTATAAATCTGTCTGAAATTTCATTAATAATTTTACTCTGCATTCTATGAGGCAATTTCCCTTTTGCCCACTGTCGCAAAAGTTTTCTCATGACCCCTAAGCAACACATGTGCATATAGTCATATGGAATCTGCGAGACGAAGCCAATTTGCAATTTTGATAAAGAAGTAGAAAATTTATGATGATTCTCGTCTAATTGTGAACGAAACGATTCATCTGTACGCGAAGCTGAATTTAATTCAGTGTACACTACACTTTTTCCAAATTCGCCGTGTTGAACACATTTCTCACACCCTGAATAACTATTATGATTCTTAATTCCCTTAATGAAACTTCTAGCTGGAGCATCAGCAATAATACAGGAAATTCTGAAATGAAATTTCTTCCCTAAATGATTAAATCCATCCTTCTCTAGTGTAATTGTCTCAGCAATAAAATCATTTAGAAAATCTAAATTAGTAGGTTTTTGAACTCCGTAAAATAGCCCTATTACAAAAATTGAATTAATTTTAAGTTGATCAATTTTACCAAGAAGCGGCCAAAATTGGGATCTTGTACTCCTACTTAATGGAATACCATCCACACCTACAGATATTGTTACAAGATTTTCGCCAAAATCGTGATAAAATTTGCTAAAAATTGTTGATTTTGGCTGAACGAGGTGAGCGATATTTGAAATTGATCTCTTTAAATTTTTTTCTATTCCGAAATATACAAATTCTCCACCAGAAATAAAATCAGTTTCAACTACTCGGGGAGTTTCTAATAATGTTCGAGGATCTAGTGGAACTGTTAATTTGAGACTACTAGATAATAATGATAATAATTCTTTTAAAGCAACATGTGTAATATTATGGGACAAAGCCCATCCTCGAAGTTTTTGAGGAAATGGTGTTTGCTCTTCATTGAACGATTCGTTTTCACTGAAACTTGTAAAGCTATAACTATTATTCTCTGAATTTGACGAATATTCTACACTATCATGCAAACTACTAATTATTACTTGAGATTCTGAAACTGATTCACCATCCACACTTGATACTGGCGCTAGAATAGTAGAGGAGGAAGCTATATTTATATTATGAAGAAGGGTTGCCACTTCCGCCTTCCTTCTTCTTGCCTTTGTTCTGTTTGAGGTTAGCATTCTGTCGTCGTTTTTCTCGTCCGCCCTCTCTGTCTTCAGCACCCTTTAGCCACGATGCAACATAACTTCCAATTTCCTGGTCCGTAGATAAACTATAACCGTTTGTGGCACGCACGGAATCTAGATTAATCAATTCATTGAAATTCCAACTTCATTAAATTACAACTTTGGATCTGTACTGTCACTCAAGATCTTACCTCTTATAATTTGATAAATTGGCTCGTTGTTTAAAGCAATTTCAATATCCTTCCCTGCTCCAGTGACAGTAATGATTTTTGCGAGACTATTTGCAAAAAGTTTTTTCAGTATTCTGCTAACCAGGAGAGAGAGCCTTTTTGCGCCAATGAGTGCCAATTCCGTGACCTAAATAGAAGATTATTATTACACTAAACTTATTTAACTAATTTTATACCCTTACCAAACAGACACGATTTTCCTGCACCTGAATCCACACGTTTAATGACTTAAACTCAGCAACAGTCACCACAGGAATTTTGTGCAATTTTATTTTAGTTGGGGGAGATATGTTAATCCCACCTGACCTTCTCAACAGTTCCGTGACAAGTTGTTCCAATTTAGCCAAACGATCAATAACGATTTTCTCAAATTCTACGAATAAATTTTAGATACATAAAGCAATGACTTTATGTATATCTGTACAAATATATATAAAATAGCTACCCGTGTCATTTTTGCCAACTAAATCCCCACTAAAGCCTGGAAGACTGTTAACACTTGGAGGGATATCACTTAAATCAAGGTTGGAATTTAATGCCACCGTTCCGTGATCAACCAATATCAACTTAGGACTTGATATAATTGGGCAACTATTCGGACCAACTAAAATCGTAAATAAGGAGGAAATCATATATAATTTTACATAATTGTGAACAGAACAGTCAATTTAAAAACACTTTAAATAAAAGAATGTTTAAATACCGTTGGACACACTCGGCGAGTGAATTTGATGGTGGTCAGAATCACTTGAATAATTCGGTTCGACTGGTTTTGACGTAGTAATTGAGGTAAATGACGTGCTTGGAATTTCGATGTCGCTATCAATTGGGTCCTTACTCGGCGACGACCCAGAAGATTCAGAGTTTACTTTTTTCTTTTGTTTATTTCGTCTTCGTCGCCTAGGACGACGACTTTCATCCTCATCCACGGTAGTTTCAAATGTCGACTGATTTGATTTCTCGGCTAAACGCAATACAACAAGTGCATCATCAAAAGTATCTGGAAATAAAAAAGATAAGAATTTTGCGTATTAGGAAATAAAATGATAAAATTATTATCTCATCTAAAATTATTATCGCTTTATTAACTCACCTTTAATTTTCAAAATTTTACAATTATGTCGTGCCCAACTCTCTTCTGGTGCCTTGTGTTTTTTCACCATAGAAGTGACGTTGGGTGATGATGGCCAGAGGACTGTGGATAAGTCTATGAGCCAACTTGTTGACACTATCGACACAGAGTTATCATCTTCTTTAAATTCGACGATGGCGAATTTATTTTTTGGAGGAAAAGTGATTTTAGCCATGCTGGCAGATTCTCGTGCTGGAAATGGACTTGAAAGTACGATTGGCGCTGTAGTGGATAGATGGCGCACTATGGTATTTTTGGCCACGGATGGTACGACCTCGTGCCGACAGTTTTTGTCAGATGCAATTTAAATATACTTTTGCCAACCTTGTCCCACCCTCGGTAGGAAGGAAGTAAATGTAAAAATTTCTACATGCACTTTTTGCTTAAAACTTGTCTGCAAAAATCGGGAGGGGAATGGTTGGCACAGTCGGCCAACCATCGCCCAACTATGCCACCCTTTAATATCCTTCGGCCCGATAATCTTGGCTACTTGGGTAGTATTTATGCACTAAAATATACGTTTTCATCAATATTTTGGCGAAAAAGTGAAATAATTTAATTTTTTCGACGATTTAAAAAACCGGGACACTTTATCAAAACCGGTACATTTTCGGGACGCCGGGACAGGGTTTGAAAAGTGGGACATGTCCCGGCTAAACCGGGACGGATGGTCACCCTAGGCACAGCAAATTTGGAAAGCGTAAAATTTCTCTACTCTGGGGCGTCTTTTATCTCTGTTTATGTAAAGAACTCCGCTAAACCAGCGGATTGGAGGATAATTCCATTTGCAAATTTCATATTAACTAAATTCACTATCGATTGACGCTAATTTGGTCAACATCGGTGATCATACGTTAGGAGACCTTTATTGTTAGTACAAAACAACTTTGTGGCATCAAAATCCTCTCACCTGTGCATACGTTGATCCATCGGGGTGCACCCCAGCGATAAAAATATCCGCTCCGGTCATCCATCCCGAGGGGGAAATTCCAAACCCTACGGACCCCAAGGTTCCCGCTGTCACTTCAAACACGATCCTATCCCCCACCACGTCCCATCGCAAAACATACTTCCCCTCGCCATCTAAGGCTTCTGCATTTTTAGTGAAATTGTGCTCCTTTATTAAGCCCCCGGAACAATTATGCCATATTACGGTGGCAAGGGTAATTAGAGTCCCGATTTGTGACCACATCACGAAATTATCAAATACGTTCAGAAAATATATCTGATTATTCTACACTGTATATAAAATATAGCTTGAAAAAGTAAAAGTTCTAAGGTGAGAAAGTGCACTTAAAAGTATTAAACAAGCTCCCTCCGCCACCCAGATAATTTTACTTCGCCTGGGCTGTCTATTCCATGCAAAATATCTGTTGTAAATAAAAATATGTAGGATATGAATAAGTCGCTTAAAGAGTCACCCAACAAATCTAAAAACAATGTAGGTCTTGTATTGTATATCATTGGATTGAGATCGGGACTTCTTGCTGGCCAGGGCAAAGTCCGAACGTTTTTCCTCGCTAGAAAGTCCATTGTGGAGCGAGAAGCGTGAATTGAAGCATTGTCTTGCTGGAAAATCCACCCTCTCCCTCCAATTTTTGGACCTTCTCGAATGAGATTTGCCTTGAGGACTTCTTGGTAGCCTAGGGAATCTGTTCTTGGTGGAATGGACGCAAGTTCAGTCTTTCCATTGTACCCAAATCCTCCCCAAAGCATTACAGACCCACCCCCTATTAATAAGCCAATCAAAGATTTTTATACTTAATGATGAAGTAGTTTATTGTAAAAATAACTGGTCTAAAATGGTTTCTGACATACCTGCTTGTCGTTTGGAAAAGATTTCTGGTTCCTTCTTGAGATGGTGCCAGTAATACGAGTAACCATCCGGTCCGTCCAGATTAAACTTTTTTTCGCCCGTGAAAATGACCTTTTGCCACTCTTTGTCCCATGACATGTGTTTCCTGGCGAATTCCAGCCTTGCGCCCTTGTGGCGTTGGGTCAGGGGAGGCTGCGTAAGCTTTTTCCTCCACTCCAAGTCGGTATTATTGGTCAGGGATCTATGCACGGTGTCTTTTGAGACGGTAAACGGCAGTTCCCTTTGAATTTCTCTGATAGAGTACTGCCCTGTTGCGGCAAGTTTGCTAATTTGTCGCTCGTCCCGAGGTGTCAAAATCTTAGGGCGACCATAGGAAGTGGTTTCAAGGCCTTGGTGGGTCTTTGAATTAAGATAATTAGAGATTGCACTTTGCGAACACCCGAGAAATTGAGAAATTCTCGATTGAGACGCCCCTTGCTCATGCAGAAGGTCGATCTGCCACAACTGGTAGTCGGAAAGAGGTTTCCCGGTGGGCATCTTGACCAATACTGACATTTCAAGTCGAGAACTGGCCAGGTGGCTAAGTGATTAATCGATTAAATTTCCCAAAAACGCCCTATCTCTTACTTTTGAGACAGTCCAATTTGACTAATTTTGGGAAAATGTTAAAATCTCGGAAAGTTGTAGCCTAGTTTGAATGAAACTTTGTGGAGCCATGTGGCACTACATTACCTATAATATTACAAAATATCATGACCCACGAGTAACATATCACAGAATGAGAGCATTTCCAATTTCTATCTCTTACATTTGAGACAGAGTATAGTACAACGAGCACGACGTCGAGCTAGTTATAAAAATAATTAATAAATATTTAGGGACACCTAACCTAACTCAACCATATGTAATTATTACCACCAAATTATCATAATTGCTAATACCCTTACCACCCAGCAATGTTAATCTGGCTGATATTAACGAATTCAAATGTTAACTTTGGACCAAGAAATTAAACCTGATCTTTATTTTCTTACGTGACGCCGAAATATTATTGTCGATATTTTGCATGCAGTAGACAGCCCAGGCGAAGTAAAATTATCTGGGTGGTGGAGGGAGCTTGTTTAATACTTTTAAGTGCACTTTCTCACCTTAGAACTTTTACTTTTTCAAGCTATATTTTATTTAATTCTTTTTTAGGTTTGAATTTTAAAAGCAAAACCTTTCAGTACGCTCAGCCCGAACCAGGATTGATTAATAAACCCATGTTTGTCAGAATGTTATACTATTTTTCACTAATTCTTGCTTTAACTAACGTCATTTGGTAGTATTGCTTGGCACCAAACTCACCTCTAAATTCTAATCCTAAGTTATTTTTCGACTTCACACTAAATTTTAGCTGAATATATAAACTCTTAGAAATATGTATGGGTACCCCTCTGGTTCTTTTTGTTCATCTTTGACTTCATATAATTTCATGAGAAGCCATTAAGTATCACAGTTCCGAATTTCAGCTTTTTGCGACAAACTATGAAAATCGGCATGGGTCACCCCAACGGGTCCCGGCTTTTAAAAATTTTACCAATCTCACTTCATATTCTTCCATTATGGGCTATTAGCACCCTATATGCCGAATTTCAGCTCGATTGGATGATTTTGAAAAATCGGTATGGGTAACCCCCTCGGGTACCTCCGGTTGAAAAATTTTCCAATTTCACTTCATATTCTTCCATTAGGAGCCACTAACAATCTGTATACCAAATTTCAGCTTTCTAACACAATTTTAAAATCTGGTGCATAGCACCCCACCCACTTAGATGACCCCCCTGGGGTCAACCATTTGACCGATTTCGCCCACCTTCTAACTCGTTCCCTAGCTTTGTCCAATATGGTAAAATGGCAAGTTCATCGTGTTCACGGACGGACATGACGGTCCCATAAGCCCGGACATGGGCTCAGACTATAAGTTACTCCATAGAGAGGGTGTAACTATATAGTTACTATATAGCAACCACTTGGAAATTTTTGTTATAAGGAAAAGTCGCTGGTTTCTCAACCAATCGACCCAATTCTTGTTTCCCCTTATAGTAAAGTGGGGGCGATCTTTCATAAATTTAAATACCCAGCTATGCAGGTAGTCTCCTTCATACTTAAACTGCGAAACGCAACCATTCACCACCATTAAAACTTTTTTCTGGGAGGTCGTATCGAAAAATCGCCAAAGATAGCACTAGATTAGGTCCGTAATTGATTTTTCGGTCTCTTTATTTTTTTCTCTAAAACGCACCCCCTTGGCTGTAGGAAGCGGTCAAAGTTTTCGAGACCTGTCGGAATGCATACTAAGGTGTAACTGTAACTATAGTATTTTTACCTCACCTTAGAAAAATCAGTTAGCGTCACGTATACGTATGAAAATGTACCTTCAACTGGTATCGTTTTGGTAGTAGTTTGTCCCTGAGTGGTAAATTTTTCGTTACCTCAACGGTAGTGGTCATATATGTACATATGTACTCCAGTCTAGAATGATTTAGTTGTAATTATGTTGTTGACCACATCTGGGATATGGTCAAAGCGAGTAGAATTTATACCCTTGATTACGATTTCCAGACCATTTGGAAGACACGATCTCAGGTCGTGACCAATCCTAAGATTTGTTTAGTACAAAGAAAATACTTGCGAGTTTGGAGACGTTGCATAAAGGATGGGCGATAAATATTCGCTTGTGGGACGCTCTTATTCACAGGAAAATTCTCGCAGAACAGCCTCTCAATACTACAAATTCACCACGACAGACACAACTTATCTAAGTCGTCACATGTGCTCATTAAGTTTACCCATTAAGCTGGTCGGCTCATAAAATAATATTTGCAGACCTTGTATTTATTGAAATACATAGGTACTTGTACCTTATGCATACTTATGCTTCCTGTAACTTATACACGCATACATACATGTTGCTCTCATGATGTTGACGGATTGAGGTACCTGTGAGTACTACCTCAAATATTCGACCTTTAATGAAAATGTGTTCCACTGGATTAAGCGTATAAGATTTAATCAACGGTCAAAGGACTAGACGATAATTGTAACCTTATGTACAAAAACTGGATATGTACAGTACCTACTAATCCTAAGGAGGAGAGGCCCTCTACACTCCCAGATCTTGACACCCTTTGCATATGTTGGATTAGCCTACATAAGCGCTCTTATGTATACTTATCTTGTTTTAGTAGACTAGTCTACTAAAACCCTGAGTGGTTTGATTCCATGTCCCCATTTGCGCCAGCCACACCCACGCAGTGGCGTTAATAACACGAAAAAAGCCTTGTTTTCATTTCACCATGTACTTTAACTGTCCCCAAAAATCCATTTTGGGTGGGATCTTGAAAAAATTTTCATTTTTGTGATCCTACTAGGATCCACCTTAGATGTTTGCGTGATCATATTCAATAGATATTTCAACTTTTTTGAAATTTTGAATTTTTTCGAATAATTCATCAGCAGTGGACTGTTCAAGAATTTCGAACATTTCTAAAAAGATGGTATTTCTGCTGCATATCATAACACAAGTATCTGGAATCACAAAAATGTAACTTGCATCAAAATGTGAGCAAAATTGCATTTTTGGCGGATTTTTGAAATTGGTAACTTTTGTGATTTTCAACACATAGATCCACCGAATCAAACGACTTCAGAGTTTTAGTAAACTGACGAGTCGTAAGGAACTCCAACATCTGCAAAGGGCATCAAAATATGACACGGACATGTAGACGGTCTCTTCTCTAAGCATACAGATATGCTAAATAAGAAGCAAGTGTTTATCGAGAATGTTGTCACTTTCCAGACTTACTGCGTATCCTAAAGTTCGCACTTCGTTCACAAACTGTTAAGTAAATAGGTGAAACAGGTTCTAGGGTACCTGAATAAATTGATAGCAATAAAATTAAGTGAATTTTTCAGATATGATTTTGTACATATGTACCACATAAAGGTGCGTGTACAGGTGGGATAAATGTACCGGATAAATGCCTGTGATCGTATGGTAAGTTACAAATTAGTAACTTTCATACGTGTAAATTTTACTATGCAGATCTTTAAAAAGAACAATAAAATGAACATTTAAAAAGTACGAATTTATAAATTGCCATCAAATTACAGAAATTTATCCGGTACATTTATCCCACCTGTACACTAGGCTTAAATAAAAATTAAGTTCAATTTGCATACATAGTTTGTGAATGGCAAAATATTTAATAATGTGAAGCTACTTCTAATAGGGCTGAGACAGGTATAAAAGCGAGGCTTGACAATTTCGCAAGCTCAGAAGCTGTCCATTTGTGTTCATGTATTTTGAAAATCAGTCTGCTTAAATATGAAGTATCTCGTGGTCCTAGTGCTACTCGTGGAAGCAGTTTGCGGTGGGGCAGATGAGAGTCTTAGCAGTGATAGCGGTAAGAATTTAAATGTAGGGTTTGTATTTGGGTAGAATTCGATATTAACTATGTTATTCATTGTTACAGGTGAGGTGTTGCGGAAACTATGTAGGCTTGGAGATCTTCCATTAACATTTGGCGGGAAGCGACCTTTCGTCGGGCGGAAAGCAATTAGGGTCGAGGAAGCTTATGACGCGGAGAAACCATTTGGGGGTGAGAAACCATTTAGCGGCGAGAGACCTTTTGGGGGTGAGAAACCCTTTGGCGGCGAGAGACCATTTGGGGATGAGAAACCATTTGGCGGCGAGAGACCTTTTGGGGGTGAGAAACCATTTGGCGGCGAGAGACCTTTTGGGGGTGAGAAACCATTTGGCGGCGAGAGACCTTTTGGGGGTGAGAAACCATTTGGCGGCGAGAGACCTTTTGGGGGTGAGAAACCATTTGGCGGCGAGAGATCCTTTGGATAGCTAAAGCCTTTGGGAAGAAAGGTAGTACCTTTCGGTGGGTTTTGGACACCGATAACGGGCCGGTCTTCAAGCGTCTGTCCAACAATAAATAAATTCAGTATCAAGTACAACTTTAAAATTTCACTTCATATCGATTTACTGAATAAGTAAGCTAAGTTAATGATTTAGTATGAAAATAAATAATTATTGCAAAAATGGAAAGCGGGTACTTTATTGGTTTAAATATTTTTTGTTACAAGGCATCTCACCTTTTACTCCAATCGGTTTCGACATTCATTACCGGCTTTTGTAGAGGCAGTGCCGTATTTGACCTTGGTCCGGCCTGGAGAGTAAGACTCTCGTCCGGCTAAATTGCCAGAATTAGCAGTCAGTGAACTTCTTTCGTGTCCTTCTTATGTGAATCTAGGGTTACAAATACATATACTTAGATTTACATACTAAGAAACACTTCGACTACTCATTTATTGTGTTTTGCATACGTATATAGGTATATCATATTTATTTACCATTGACCTATTATGACCTTTAAAATAAAATCGTCAAGTATTCGATCAGCATCAGCCTCTGATTTTGCTAGTCCCTCGCGCCGATTTGGATAAACTAAATTTGCTTATCTGAAAAATTGATAACTTCGTTGATAAGCCTCATAGCGTTAATTTTCGAATGCATATCATCATTATAAATTCAGAAAAGCTTAAGTTTTAAATTTGGGGCGATTTGAGGCTGTTTTAATAGCTTCTATGTAATTACCTTTATGTATATCATAAATACCTATACATTGTTACGGCTCCTGCCGTATAAGCCCCTCCCTCAGAAACTTTGACCCCAAAAAAGTCATGGTAGCGGTCATTTCGCAGCGGACAACAAAAGCGGAAAATGTGGCACTTCTGACGAAGAAAAATCTGGCATCAGGTTGTCAGCCGCGAAATGACCGCTAAGGTCACTTTTTTAACGATTTATATGTAGGTCGAAAAACCGCCAATTTTCGAATTTTGAAAGTCTTGATGCATCAAAATGTTCATATTCATGAGGGAAGTCAAATGTCAAATGCAAGTTGGTATCTACTTCTTTCTGTACCGAGTGTACATTGACCTTCTCATTTTTCCCAATTTTCTTCCCCAATTTTTGAAGGGGGTGTGGTTGAATATAATTCAAAAACAGCTATGCTATATTAATCCCCCCACCCAAAACTGAATTTGTAATTTTTTATGTGCAATTTGGTGAAATCGATGCGAAAAAGACTTGCACTTTTGGCTCATTTTGTATCAGCACTGTCCAGGCTAAGTAACATATCTGACAAAGTGCAAAGGTCAAAGCGAATGAAAGCCAAGATTTGTGTAGATTTGCAAGTATGCATACATATAAAATTGTACCCATGTGACAATCTGTGTAATAACTTATGCACAATTATCCTCACCCCCAGCTGGACTGATCACATTCATTTTAGCGTAAAATAAATTATTCCGAAAATGTATAATCTGTTACAAAATACAAGGTGCCGCCGTGTTGCAACAATATTTTCAATCTTGGCCCAATGTGTCGTGTTGTATGCACGGTTTTTAATATCAAACGGATCCGAAAATTCGGGATTTATAGAAATTACGGGTCCACACATTCACTGGAATGATGCACCACCGAATTCAGCTAGTTACAACATTTCCAAGTGTATTCCCCGAATCCCCGAAGCATACACGGGACTCATCGGCAAGATAAAATTATCTGGAAATTGTATCAATATTTATCCACGGTTCAATTGCACCGGATGGTTTATTCGTCTCGCTATAGAAAACCATGTCAATACGTTTTACCCGTCCCCAACTTTTAATTGGGTGGGAGACGAGTTGATACAGAAGGATTTATTGGTAGGCTCGATAGGACCGTGTTTTGATAAATGTGACCCGCAAAATTGGCTGGGCGACGGGAGGAACCCTGTATCTGTGACTTTATTTGAACAGTCCGACTTTTCAGGTATTTAGATAATTTGTTAAATTAGGGTTAAGTAGTTCGCCTGCAATAATAATTTGAATATAACTTTGCACCAATGAATTGGTGCAATTTTACACAACTTTACACAATTGTAATTGTGCAAAATAATGGAACAAAATACACACATAGTTTGATGATGATGTAATTTTGCCACAATGCGCAAATGTTCAAAGCAAGCTTATAAACTCGATACACCATTCTGACATAATTTTGGCCGATTTGTGTAGAATTCCCACAGCAAATAGAGCCAGGTGGTACTTATTATTTTGCACAACCAGTGGTGCAAATTTAGTGTTGAGGAAAGACAAAAATTTGGAAACTTAACGGTTAAATTGTAAGCGTTGAATCGGGCTATATAAATCAGTAAATTTTGTCCTTACTATAATTTTAGGTAATGCCACTCACATCAATGTGAAGGGTGATGACTGTTACCTCCTACCACAACCGAGGATGCTGGCAAGATCCATTAAAATCATTGGTGACGAAAACTCGTGCATCGAACTTCACGCTTCTTCTAGCTGTGGCGGAGAATTCACCCAATTTCGACCAGGTTATGTGCTACTAGATAATTTACAGGACTGGGGATTAAATGGGGAAGACACGTACGCACCACTCGCAAAGGCGGTTTCACGTTGTGGACAGTTTTGCAATAAACTCGTGCCGGAAATCAATCCTGACATTAAGACAAATGTGGGAGAAAATGTAGTCACCTTTTATGATAATCAAGGATATTACGGTGTGTTTAATAAAATACTAGATTTAGAATTTCACTAGTTTGTATTTTTAAAAGGGAGATAATTCACGTGGTAGCCCTTGTCTATCAATTAGTGTGTGGGCAGCGGGTTGGTGACGAGTGGTCAACAAACGTCTCGTCGACGGAATATTGGTCGACACTAATATGCTGTCGAGGCGACCAAGACGTGTCGATAAATATTTTGTTAACCGGTTAAGATTAGCGACTAGTAATTTGTCGACCAGTACGGTGTCGACGTTTGTCGACCACTCGCCCGGAACCCGTGGGCTATCAGTATCTCAAGACAATTTGAGAAAGGCAGCCTCTCGTTGACAGAGGTAAACTATAATGAAATAAATATATTTTACATTCCAGCAATTAGTTTCTGAGAATTCAACAGCTACATAATACTAATCTTCTTCTAGGTCATGCCACCAACGTAAATCTTACCGATGGATGCATCGATCTAGAACTCCATGTAAAGTATCACTTATCCCTGCAGACCTATGGCCGATGCGTCGTCTTATACGGGGCAGCCAATTGTGTAGAAAAACAAGATTATTACTCGTTGCAAACAGGCGGAAAGCCAGGAAATTATTTTGCAGAGAAACTTCTCACCCTTACATTTCCTGTTTACGTCAAATCCATGAAATTATGTGATAATGAAGATCTGGTGGAAGTTGATGAGGGGACAGCTCGTCCAGAAAACACTTTGGAAATAATTGTGTTGTGTTTTATTGTCCTATTTTTGTTTACTTTGACCGCACTGGGTGGAGCCTTTATTACTAAATGGTATGAAAGGATTAGCCATGAAAAAGATGAAAGATTCAGTGTCTTGTATAAATCAGATTCGGTATAGTCTATACTGTATAGAAAAATGATTTTATGTAACAGGGTTATAATTAAGCCGCATATATACTTTTCTTTTAATATTCATCGTAACTAAAATATAAAAAATTAAAAGATAAGAGAGTTTAATTAACTTTACATTCATCGGATAAGCCAAGACTCAGTCAGTCTCATCCTCCCCAATACAATTTCAAGTTTATACATAATAAAAACCACCAACGCCATAAACCAGGTCAATGGAATGAACATCACCCCAGCTGATCATCACGTTGCCACTTACATAATGTAGATTCTATAACTACATTTGTATAGTTACAACAAAATAGCATTCCTGAAATTTAAAAACTACACTGGTTTCGATTACAAAATTTTTTTACTTTCCTGATGATTGCACAAGTTAAGCATCGAAAGCTCGAATATTTAAATGGCTTTAAAATTAACACCCATGTATTCCGACAAATCCTCTTAAAATTTTGATTACTGTAATGTATTTAATTATCCATACATTGTGTAAATAATTATGTTATTAAATTGTATTGTAAATATGTACATATGTACAATAAGTATTTGCAATGCGATGGTGCGAAGTGTAACCCTCCGATTAAGTTGAGACTTTGAAATTAACTATGTCGTCCATGCCAATACAACCGACATTTCTTCAGGCAGTTTGTGCGATGGTCAGAATTTGCCAAAATATTTGAGGGCAGAGTTGAAAAATGTGGGAGTTTTACCAGGCGGACGAAGCAAACTCAACTTCAATTCCCTTCCCGTGCTAAAAATCGCATATTTTTTAGCTTTGCCCTCAAATACTTTGGCAAATTCTGACCATCGAAGAAATGTTGGTTTTATTGACATAGACCACATAATTTCAAAATTTCAGCCAAATACACTTAACACTGTAAATAGGTTACACTTATGACTTAACACCATAGCATTGTTAGTTAAGAAATTATTCCTTCCAATCATAGATTCTTGTCAGCTTAAAACGTTCGTAACCAAACATAATCCATGTCGCGCCTAAGCCACACCCCCAAATAGCAAATATTCCGAAGAAGTTCCCCTTAAAATCCAGCCGCTTCCAGCCTCCCTTCATGGTTTCTGCTTCCTTGATGAACTTCTCGTGGGTCATACCCTTTACGACTTTATACCATTTCTCCGCCAGGCCTGAACAGGTTAACAGGGCCCCGATCCTTTGTAAAACTTGGTCCGGCCCCCAATTATAGATTGCCCAACCCTTCGCAATCCTCGCAAAGGGTTTTACACTTTTACTAATGACTGCTGAATTTGGGAGTTTCGCTTTCAGTTCGTAGAACGTTAGGTCAATATCATCAGACCATGAGGCCAAAGCTATTTTCTCGTCACAATTCGATATCAGCGAAGAAAACGCCTGCTTCCCGTGGACTACGTTAGTATAGCCGGCAGGAATGCTGGACGTGTTGACGAGCTTCTGTAGAGTCTGATACCTTTCAGCATTCGGATTTTCGATGGCATCTTTACTCTTCAAGATGAAGAATTGAAAAAGGTAAATCACTGAAAGATACTTCTCATAGTCGATATAATAGAAGGACGTCATGTTCGTGTTGTTCTTGCTTCTCATGACGTCCAGATAAACGGATATGTCGTAGGGGGTGGTAAGAAATGTGAAACCGGAGTGGATAAGATCTTCAAACAAGGAGAACTTTGGATGTTCCGGGGGAACCGTGAGACTTTTGACGTATTCGCCTTTATAGCAGTTGGACAAGACTATGGCTCCAAGAATCCAAATGGAGCATAAAATATAAGGGAATTTTAGATTGATTTCGGAGTATTTCAGAGCATTTCGTGAGTATGCATTGCTCTGTTCCATTAAAGTTCCGTACGCTAGATGTATCACGTTATTTACGAAAACTGTTGATTTAGGTGGGTAAAAGTTATGATCCTCCTCAATAATTAGAAGATACGAACCCAACGTGACTATTACGCAAATAATCTTCCCAAAGATGAGTAACATCGTCCAAGTCGTATTATCCAAAGGTCTCAGTAATCTGCCGAAATTTACCGACCAAAATGAACCTTTTTGAAAGCACGTGACAAATTCTAGCCCTTCTTCCTTAATATTTAAGAAGTGAGAGCCAAACAAATCCATGACCACGTGCGGGCCATTTGACGTCGTTCCTAAGTTGAAGTCCCAAACTTTTAGGTAGTGTTGCACATAGAAAATCCCTGATTTGGGGTCATCTAGCAAGTCACCGGGGCTTACCAAGGAACAATTCTTTTCTGAAGCTGCCATGGTTGCATTATTGAGGGCCAAGCGGAAAAGGATAAAATCCAATTTGATTGTGGTGTCTGGGGCAAAGGATGTAAAGTAGGGCGCGGTAAACAAATGTTTTCCTTCCCTTTCTATTGCGACAGAAATTTCGTCGTCGTATGTAGAAATCTGGTCTAATCTTGTCCCCATATTCGCTACCCGCCACATCCTAGAGAAAACCGGAGCAGTGAGGGCATCGAAGATAGATCTCAGTTTGCTAATTGCAAAGGTAGAATTACTATTTCCATGATCATATCTAACATATTTTATACTGCAGGGGATGCAAACGTCGCAAACTAAATAGATTTTGGATAAGGTTCCATTAAAAAGCATCACCATCAAGTTGCTGGGCGCTTGGACGTAGTAGCGTTTAGCAAAGAAGCTGGATTCCAGCCATCTTGTCCAGTCCGTCTTTCCAGTTAGCACTGTAGTTATTAGGATACGATATAAATAATTGGCGGAGATCTGGTACCCGGTCCGTTGGTCGAAGTCAAGATTTCCCGTTTGTAGCTTTCTCTCTGTTAGGAATTCTACTAGTGATTCAAGCTGGTAGCCGAAATCGATGCGTCCCTTGTCGATCGGGGGGTGCAGATGGAATTCCACGAAGCAGTAGAGATTCTTCTGAATTTTTAAGTGATTTGAGTTGAAAGTCCGGAGGTAATAGGTGTGGGAAAATCTATCTGGGCCATAGATTGCTAAAACTTGTTCATTTGGAAGTTTTGGACCTCGAGGGGAAATTCTTAGTGTGGGGACGGAGACCGAGCTGACGTTAGTGCCCAGGAAGTCGATTAGTATTACAAGACATGGATGGAAACTTTCAATTATTTCGGGTAGAGTGTTAAGATTACTGTTTGAGGTGTGAAATAATTTTAGGAGTGTGAAAAAGAGAATATGTCCGGATGTAGGTGACATTGTTGTATTTTATTGACTTGGACAGAAATATTTAATACAGATTTAGCAGTTGAGACTAAAATTTAGCTAAAAGCTTGATTTCTGGATAAGTTACAAGTTGGGCGTTAAATTCATTATAGTAAGACGTACTCAATCAATAAATTTGCGGTAGTACAGATAGCAAAGTAAATATTGGAAGTCTTAAAGTGCATTTAACATGTATTTGTGAATTTAGTTGAGTTGCTCCTCCAGGCTTAACAAGGGAGGAGTCCTCCCCGACCTTTATCGATTATTCTCATATCGATTTTTTATCCTAAAATTGAGATTAATGCATCAGCCACTACAACATTTACTCTTATTTAATTCGAAAGAAAATTTTCCAAAAATTTCTAACAGATCAGAAACTCGCCAGTTATCGGACCATTCCCTATTTCAGTGTTAAAGGTAAAACATGTTACTTACAGTATCTAAAGAGGATATGCTAAATGGACTCATCACCAGTTTTTCAGAGTGTACTTAAATTATAGCAGCGGCATATTCACGTGTTTGGGAGTACCGACATGCCTACTAAACTGCGTACGTGGTAAGCAGAGTGTTAAGAATGAGTAAACAAACCTTGTTTCCAGGCCTGGGACAACTTTTGGTACTGAATTATTTAGTTATGTTATGTTATGTCATCGAGACAAGACATGTTTTGTATGCAAATTCTTGTCAGAAACTGGTTTCTTATAATTGTGTAGGTACACAAATCTGTACAGTGCTTCAGATTTGGGATTTTGTAAGGTACGAAATCACACAGATCAGTTGCAAGGATGGGAAAAATTTGGATATCTCAAAATTATACTTACTAATTTTTCAACCACTGTACTTACATAACGTTTCAGGGGTTGAACTGGTCTAGACTTAATTTTTACGGTCTGGACTTTATTTACATTTTTCGAGTGCATAATAAGCAGATACATATTTAATATAAATATGAATGTCTGGATTGGGGTGAGTCTCACTTAATTTGCAGAACTTGACACAGAAGAATCCCAACTTTTCAGGAAATTTTCATCCGAACAAATTTTCGCAAAAGGTTTAACACTTCTAAAAGAACAGGTATAAACAAATAATTTGGATAATTTTTATTTTGCCAGAAACTTTTGAAACGAAAAATTAGTAGTCGTGGGGCCATTTAAAATTCCAATAATATTAACATCTTAAATATCCCGCCAACTGAAATAATATTTCAACGATAATATCATCACAATGACGTCGCTAAGTGACTGCTTTTTCATAGGAGAAAGTAAAAATGTTAAAAAATTCTTCACTCAGATTCATTGATCTTGAAAATTGCAAAAATTATTCATTACGGGAATTTTGAAAACTTCGTGGACATCAGAAACGATGGGAAAATTAGTATCCAACATGCCGTCGAGTGGTTTACTCAACACGGGAAAGGAAAAAGTGGTTCAAGAATTCCTGAAACAATTTTTCTCAGTCAAAATTGGAAATGACGTTTCGAAATAAGTCGGGATTAAATTGATTCCTACACATACATAATTTTATTACCTTATAAATATTGTAATTACTAATTGAAATCAAATCATTTCCGAGCTATGCCAGTTTATGAAGTGTATTTTCTTTTCTTTCGCCGCTAAGATTATTTTCCCCGAAATTGATTTTGTCAAAATATTTATTTATCAGGCAACAGATTATTTTTAAAAACAATATGTATATGTAAATTACATGATATTAAAATTTCTGAAAACTTAAATTTTAAAACTATTTACATATTTGCTATTTTATAGAAAACTGAATGGTATGTAAAAGGTTGATTTTTAAAATATTTTTCTTCTTAAATTTTGAAACATCCCTTGCATAGACAAATGTTGAAATGTTTATTTGTCGCGTTTGTCTTAAAAATGTAGAATTTGGCAACGAGCTGAAATTTTATTGGATTTTTACCATATACGATTTATAATGCTGCCTAGTAGCATTTTAATGGATTTGTCATCATGTTTCATGACCACTTGTTTACTCAAATCTCGACATTATTATCCATCAAACACCCATCCATCAACCCTTTAGCAACCCTTTCCTCACTAAAACCTAAATTCACCGCAATCCTTACCAACCTCTCAACTTTCGCCATTCTCTCCATTCTCCATGCAGGACTAACCACGTGGTAACCCACACGTGGGAAAGTTTCCTCAATCCTGTCAAAATAATCATTACTATCTCTCCACTCCCACTCCGTATTATCTAAATCCGTGGAAAACAGTCGAAACCTCGCCCTTAGTGGGAACGGGAGCTCAAACTCTCTCAACGTTTGACACGCGGGAATATTTTCTTTCAAAAATACGTCCCACAAAAATGGGACCACGCCTTCCAAAAAACCCTCATCGGTAACATCGTCTCCCGTAATGTATTTTTTGTATCCATTACAAACACACAGTTTTTCCAAGGATGGGAATTGTTTAGCATAATTAAGAGAAAATTGTTCACATTTCGTCTCAAATATGAACCTCGCTGGGGGAAAGCGTTCTCTCAGCCCGCCCGAAATTTTGAAAACTTTTAACTTTGGAAATATCGGGATGTGAAGGGTGCATTGGTCAGGATCGTTGGAACATATTGAATATAAGTGAAATTTTTGCAAATACGGAGAAAATCGGTGGAGCAGTTGCTCGTACAGGGGAGCATTTCGTTCAGTTATTTCACATAATTCGAGACTCGTTAATAGATTGTTGTGTTTGACATGTTTCATCAATTGGGTGTCACGTGTCCCCCAGTTTTCTAGCGTAAGGGATAAACTTGATAACTCTGTGTGATTTAACAACCTGTCGAATAATTTTGAATTAGCCCCCTGGTAAATTACATCGTTTACGAGGAGCCTATCAAAATTTGGAAATAGTGGGAGAATGTCGTTAACAAGTTTGTTCTTTATTATTTCATCCCCGTGGGGTGCAAAAGGACATGAACTTAGATAGAAACCGAGCGTCCTAACACGTGGGAATGAAATATTGGTTGGAATTAAATTTTTCCTTAAAGCAGTTTGTACGACGTCGGGGTCACCACGATTTCCTGTCCAGCTCATTGGGTCAACCGTAAAGGAAGTGAGATTAATCAAGGTGGAACAAATTTTAAAAAAGTCGTGGGACTGGGATGGTTCCGCGGTTATTGGGTAATCAATCAAAAGATATTTCACCGTTTTGGAATATTTTGCAGCAAACTGGGCAAACTCGGAGAGAAATTGGGTGAAATTGGATTTCTGGTGGATAGTAATCTGGACATTTTTGGGACCTCCGTAGTGGTGCATTGGTTTGCTTAAGTAGGTCGCCATGCTGCGGTCTGGTTCAGCTGGGAGGAGTTTTTCCCAGAGGTGGAGGAATCTTCGAGAGTGCAGTTGATTCCGGGCTTCCCTCTCCCATGTGGTGGTTACCAGGGTGCATTGTAAAAGGGTTTGGACTGGGAGGAATTCCGTGATGCAGCGGATAATCTGAGAAATGGGGAGAATAGATTGTAAAAAATCTGATAGAGTAACAAACGGTGTCACTGGCGGAAATGGGGGTACGCAGGGTTATGTCTCACGTATCGGCCCCCGCTAGGCAACGGCCCCCGGCCCTCCGACTATTATATATATATTATTCAAATTTGTTCAATAATAATAAACTAAATTATTCCCAAAGAAACTAAAAGAATAATATCATAACCACTTTCATAATTCAAAAAGTATTAAACTAATAAATCTGTTAAACTTTAGGCCCCCAAGCGCCTATTTTTATTTGTAAAATTTTCTGGAATTATAGAAATGTTCTTAACTTGTGCAAACATCATAAAATGTTCCGGTTGTTTTAATTTTATCAAATTTTTGAAATTGCGAAAATGAAATTAATGCGTAGAAATTTTTTAAGTTATGGAAATATTACTTTAAGATTCTCTAATTTGTTGAAATTATGTTTTCATTTGTTTGAAGATTTATTTAAAGAAATTATATTGTAGAATTAAATATTATAAATTTTCCTTGAAATGTTGCATGGATTTGGAATAACTATTTTTCTGATAACGAAGAAAATGTGGACATTCAAGGCCTACATAGATTTGATTGGCATCCCACCATTGTGGCTCAAGTCATGCATTAGTTTAATGCGAATTTTGAAGTTATTTTTTGCATAACTTGTTTTTTAAGCTTAGTAAATAGGATTTACTCATGTAAAAAAACATGTCAAATTTTTTGGATCTATTAAATCCATAAAATGAGGAGTATTTGGTATGCCAAAACATATTTAAATACTGAGGGTATTCAATATTTCTTCGTATCCTTGGTTTTCGTCGTATAGTAAAATACTTACGACGCCTAGGAGATTTTGTCATCTATAATCATGTAACTGCATATGTACGCTTTCGATTTTTACGAAACCTGACCCCTTGTTTTATCTTCATAAACTATTTTTCGATACTAACAATGGAACCTTTTTTCAAGCTACACGAGATACGCTTAGTGACCAATGTTAAAAAATCAAGCTAAAAATTACAAATGACGTGGTACTGATCTTTCCGTTGAATGGGCACTTGGAGGTCAAATATTTGAGGGCAAAGTTCACAGTAGCGGCCTGCTTTTTTCTCAAGCGGGCGAGCGGAGGAGTGAAAATTTTCTCCTTCGAGGTCACTTCGATCCCTTCACTCTCGCACGCTCGCAATTCATTCAATGCATATTATTTTTGACAAAATTTCACAATCTCGTAAATTTTCATATACGTAAATCTTCATATACATAAGTTTTTATATATTTACTAATATTTTTGCTTTTTAAAGTCCTACTATCCACCAATCCGTAATAAAAAAAGTGACGATGGGTTCAATAAATTATAACTCTAACTTATTAACAAATAATTATAATTTAGCATATATATATTTATAGTAAATATAAAATTATATGAATGCATACACCAATTTTCGAGATTGTGAAATTTTGTCAAAAATAATATGCATTGAATGAAGTGCGATCGTGGGAGGGTGAAGTAGTGAAGGGAGCGGAGTGACCTCGAAGGAGAAAATTTTCACCTCCGCTCGCCCGTTTGAGAAAAAACAGGCCGCTACTGTGAACTTTGCCCTCAAATATTTGACCTCCAAGTGCCCATTCAACGGAAAGATAAGTACCACGTCATTTGTAATTTTTAGCTTGATTTTTTAGCATTGGTCACTAAGCGTATCTCGTGTAGCTTGAAAAAAGGTTCCATTGTAAGGCTACAAAGAAGTAACGAATATCTGCACTGTATAGTACAGTATGTAATTTGCATTTTTACAAAAAATTAGCAAAGTAATTTGAAAATACAAATGTATTTTTGACTCTGAAGTGTATTTGTATTTTTTATTTTGAAAGAATGTATTTTGACAATCCCTGCCAATTTTAGATTTCATTATAATTTTGTGTTATTTTTTATTAAATTTGCAAACTTTTTTTTTTAAATTAGAACTACATACAATAGGTTTCAAATTAACTCAAAGTAGCCGGTTTACTAAAGATTTCCAGAATCTGATTTATCAAAAACTGGTCTTACCAAAATTTAAAAAAAACAATTTAAAGTCGGTTTTTCGAGAAATTTCTAACATCGCTACACCCCATAACGTCATTTTTGATTTACAATTTGTCATCTCCAATTGTTATTAATATTTTGATAACTACATAAAACTAAATAACGCAAGTAGTATTTAATTTAAGGAATGATGGTAAAACTGTTAATGCTAAACTTCATAAAAAATCACAAGCACATATTAGTAAACGTAAATTTCGATAGGCCCCCAAACCAAGCTTATGTACCGGCCCCCAATCTATAGTTCCGCCACTGAACGGTGTGCGGTCGGATTGCATAATTTTTTTGGTATAACGACAATTTGGTATAATATTGTTGGTATAATTTAAGGAAACCATCTGGTATAATGAAACTCAAAGATAATTCTGGTAGGGATAATTAAATTTATTTTAAGCTTTAATAGATTAGAAAGGGACCAAAATGCATTCCACTCCTTTTTCCTTGCATTCACTCGAATTGCACTCCACACTCACATTCACAACCATGTCCACCGAAAACGACATTAGTGAATTGCAGTATATTTCCAGTAGTAAAGACAAAAATTTGTAGAATCATACAACACTGATCTAGACACTTTCGAATATCTCAAGAGTATTGGAAAATGCCTTCACAACTACATGACTGTTTAAAATTTAATTTCAAATTTAATTCTGATTTTCATATAGAGACCCCGTACTATATAGTGGAGAACTTTGACCTAAAAATGGTCAAAAAATAATTCTAGAAATCTCAAATTTTAGGATAATATCCTAAATATATCCAGCCACACATATTCGCGAACAAAGAAGACTGAAGTCAATTGTCCATCTCGTATTTAACCTTTTCCTTCACGCCCGCCATTACTGCTTTTTCGGAAGACTTTACTAATTAAAGGGTAATTATCTCCTACCTGAATTGAAATTTTCTTAAAGTTTCGACTGTTTCACAAAGCTGGGAGTATGTCTTCTTACAAATAGCCCAAATTTTTTTATTGCGTGAAGATAAGGGTTGAATGTGAGGTTTTCATTTTTCAGCGTCAAACTGAATTTTTTTTCAATTTCTTCCTTGATAGTCATTGCATTATGGATTGGTCAAAGGTCGGTCCAAAAAATTACATTTTATATTTTCTGATACTCCTTGATGAAAGGAGTCAGACGGTCTATCTCACATTTCCCAAAACAAACTTGTGCCTTCACACAGCCATTTTGAACTGAGGGGTCCGAAACATGCCCAAATTTACCTAACACCTGCCAAACATGAAAATTCTAAAACACTAGAAATAGGGCTAAACTATGCATTACCAATAAAAAATCATAAACACCAACTTATCGAAACAACATTAGCAATAGAAAATTGGCTCAAAAACACTGACGACGAAAATCTTACGGAACATGACAAAAACATAATTAGATCAGGTGCATCAAGAATTATACATGATCATAAAAAACAAACCAATACAAATACTTCTGATTTTACTTGGGCACTACCTCACATAGAAAAATTACGTACAGACAATAGCATCGTAATATGTCCCGCAGACAAAGGCAATGCGACAGTAATAATGAATAGGAATGAATATGAAACCAAAATGGCACAATTATTAGATGACCCTGCATATAAAATACTACCCAATGACCCAACAAAAGAAATAGAACAATCAATCCAACAAAAACTACATAAGTTGCATAATATGAATAGAATTGACAAACACACATACGATAACCTTGCACCAAAGCATTCTTCCGCTCCTATATTTTATGGTTTACCTAAAATACATAAATCAGGCATTCCAATTAGACCAATCTGCGATTTCCGTCATTCACCTTCCTATAATTTAGCTCACTATCTGAACAAGATTTTGAAAACAATCACAATTAAAAGCAAACACTCCATTCTCAATTCATACAAATTTGCAGAACAGATTAAAACTTTAAAAATTCCACGCGATCAAACCATGATTTCCCTTGATGTAAAATCACTCTTCACAAAGGTTCCAATACAACCAACACTAAATTATATTAAACAACAATTAGACGCTAACAAAGATATATGGAAAACCAAAACTAGTCTCACTTCTACTGAAATCTTAGAATTACTCACACTTTGCATTTCCTCCAATTATTTCCAGTACAAGGGCACATATTACCAACAAACCACAGGCACACCAATGGGTTCCCCAATTTCACCAGTTTTTGCTGAATTTTTCATGCAATATTTAGAACTCACACTAGTGAATAATAACCCACTCATACATTTTCATCGTAGGTTCGTTGACGATACTTTCACTTGCATCACAAAAAACGAAACAACAAACATTTTAAATCAGTTCAATAATTTCCATCCAGAGATACAATTCACGTTAGAAGAAGAAATTAACAATCAATTACATTTTTTAGACATAACCATAATTAGATACACAGATGGTACTACAAAACACAAAGTTTACAGAAAAAGTACACACACAGGTAGATATTTGCATTACACATCTTACCACCACCAATCTCACAAAATTTCGGTAATTGATTCACTTTTATATAGGGCATTTACCATTTGCAGTCCAGAATTCCTAAGCCAAGAATTACAATTAATAAAATCACAACTCATGCAAAATGGCTACCCTTTGCATCTCATAAATAAACGCATTAAAAAGTTTCAGACAAATGAACCTAAAACATTAGAGACAGGCGCACGTATCATACTACCATATTCTGGCCCCCTCACAACAAAACTTTCACACTTTCTTAGACGCACTCTCTCTTGCACTTTCGGTTATATTCCAGGTAAAAAGGTAGGAAATATGATATGTACACACAAACAGGCAGCACCAACCCCTCAGATAGGTATATATAAAATTCCTTGCTCTTGTAACAAACTATATATAGGTGAAACATGTAGACCACTTTTAGATAGAATAAAAGAACACAAATCAGAAACAGACAAGGTAAACATAACGTATACCAACATTTCTCAAATGACCACCAGAAACAAAAACAAGCATGTCACCGAACAAAAAATCGTTTCAGCAGTAGCACAACATATCAAAGACAATCCCACTCACACCATCCATTTTCAATCCACTGCACTTATTGAATCAGAACACAGATATTTTTACCGTAAATACAAAGAAGGACTTTACATTAAAAAACTTGACAAAGACAAAATCAACTCTAATGAAGGCAAAAACATCAACCCCATTTGGGCAGCTTTACTTCTACCAATCATTCGACATCCAAAATTTATTAACACAAAACCACTCCCACTTTCAAGCGACACACAACAAAACACAAAACATCAACCCAACTTGATGCCAAATGGGGTCTGGGTGGATTGACTGAGGTTTTCCTTCTTTTCTTTATGGCAAGGTTTTCCCTCGGTCCATCAAGTTGGGTCCCTTTACATTTTTTATCACTTCAAAACGTGACCCCAGTATCCAACGCCACAAACATGACAACTATTTTTATGAATTTACACTAACTAATTTCAACTACGAAATCTTGTAACAAATTTCCCATCTTGTAAATGTCTTGATAATGAATAGCAGATAGCATTCGAAATATTGACAAAATAAAGCAAAACTTTTTCTTCGACTTTTCCACTTAACTCCGTGTAATCCAATTATTAAACATGAAAATTCTTTAGAAATTCTGAAGAACATTTTAATTTCTTTTCGGGTTTCAGTTGAGAGATATATTTCCCAGAAAAAAATTGACTTCCCGGAGTTTCTGTCACGTTTTTGAAGACGTGGGACTCGTCGCCAATGACCAACTGTTTTGGTGAAATTTTGTTGTAAAGCTTGGGAGGGCTTGCATTCACCATTTTTTCTTGACCTTCCGTATGCTTTGCTGCAGATTTATTTGAATACGCTTTGACCCACAACTTATGAGCCTTCATATGATGCGCATAGTCTGGAGTAATGTTCAACTTCATGGTCGCATTAGGCACAAACGTGGATCCGTACTTTCCAAAAATAAATTTAATCGTTTTTTATTTTCCAGGGGTCAATATGATGGTTTTTTCTTGTGGTGCGTATTTGAAGTTGATATTTTCGGATTCCCCATACTTTTTTATGTATGTCCTAATTTTTGCACGACAACAACTCTCTCCGTTAAAATTTAGTCAAGCCTTGTTCGAGGCTTTGTCGCTCAGATTTTGCTACTTACAAAAAACTCGTTTCCCGACTTCCTCGCTTTGAAGTTGCGTACGAAATTTGTTTTTCAAGGAAAGCCTATGAAATTTTGAGGACACGTGGTCAGATATATTTGACATATTATACCAAAATTTGAGATTTCAAGAATCATTTTTTGACCATTTTTAGGTCAAAGTTCCCCATCGCCACTATATAGTACGGGATCTCTAATTATCCCTTTTTTATTTATCCCTACGCACCATTAGACCCATTTAGTTTATGATAAAAAAAAATTCACCATATTGCATTATCTCTAATATGTAAATTATGCAATTTGACCTACAACCGTATAACGTGCAAATAAAAATATTTGGATAAACTTTGTGCGGATTTGGACTGAAAATTAATGATTTCAAACTTACACACTGAATGTGTCCAACTTTCTGCCCTTGTTGCGTTACTTTTTCCATATTATCCTCCTGGAAAAGAGCGAAATTGAGAAATATCGAATTAATCCTGTTCAAAAACAATTAAAGGGTGAAATTTACCTGTCGCATATTATTTATGCATGCGCTAAAAGACTGATCTTCCTTGAACGGGTCGAGCAGGGTGAACGCGTCAGCGAGAAATGAGAAAGGTAGCGAAGTGTTTGCAGGTTAAACCGAGTGCTTGTAATATATAATAAATATGTGAATATGTATATCCAGTAAATAGAAAGGTCGGGTGTAAAAAGTTATAAATAGGAACATAGATATGTATGTAGAGCCCTTACATTTTTTTGTACAGGTCAATACACATAATAATGATTGTTTCTCTAGCAATTCTAAATATGTTAGCACAAAAGGAGGCACTTGGGGACGGTGCATAAAATTTGTGATCGATTTTCGGAGAATTTGTATACACACCCCCCTGTTGTGACCCATATGGCCCATACTATAATCAACTGGTAAAGATAGGATGCCTGGACCCCTACCCCCCGTCAAGTAGATCACGTGCTATTTGCACAGTCCCAAAGACGTTTCCCATGAAAATTTTCAATAATGTGGGGAGACATGCATATGTACAGGGTGGTTTAAATGTCAGGTTACAATGGACAATTTTTCAACGGGAAAAATTCGTAAATCTCCAGTAGTTACCAAAATTTTGCCTCTAAAATTCAATATTTTAAGAATTTTGTCATCAGTGTTCCGTCAGTTTTGATAAAAATTAATAAAAATCTGAATCCCAAATCTGTAACTAATGGAAATTTACGAATTTTTCTCATTGAAAAATTGTCCATTGTAACCTGACTTTTAAACCACCCTGTATATAAAGTTTCACTGTCTGGGTACATGTGTTATAACAGCCTATTTACATATATGCATATTTAGCTACAGGTTACTATTCTGATTTACAATCAGGGTATTCCGACCCCAGGTTTTACTGGGTTGTAAATTAATCAAACCCAGCGGGTTTTACTATGTTAAAGGGGTTTTACTCGGGTTTTACTAAGTTTTATCTAAAATTCAAATAGATAAATCAATGGAAGCAGTTTGCAGGTGCATATCTAACTAGAATTAAGTACTATGATCAATTTTCAGTAAATTTATCGAAAATCTCGTATATTTATTTCGAATTTTTGTTTATGATCTAAAAGTAAGAATTTACAGCTTAACTTGGAGTTTGGTCAAATTTTTATTTTTTGTGTCCCTCGCATTTTGAATTGAAGTTTTTTGATAAATCTTGACAAAATTCAATAATTTAACAAATTGACGTATGCAACATTGTAAGTTTTATTACTTCACCTAAAACATTGAGTAAAACCCAGTAAAACCCCAGGGTTTTTCTAGAAAAACCCAACCCAGGGGGTTTTTCCGGAGTGTTTGGGGCTTTTGTGGGTTTTTGTAGATTTTGGGGCAGGCTGTACAAAAATTTCTAACATTAAATATTCGGAAAAACTTGTTTAATGTACGAATTTATCATGCAATTTTAAGCGTTATCATTGACTTGGACTGTTAAATCGAAAATTTATGTTTAGCATGTAAACCTGGAAATACATATATGCAATGATACTTGGAAATTCGGGTCGCATATAAAAATTCTCAAAACTTCATGATGAATCCGACAATTTGATTATCATTGATCGAAGTTATAGTTTAAGGGATTTTGTATCAATCTGCCTTAAAACCCCGGAAAACCCCATTAAGCAGTAGGGTTTTTCAGGAGATTTGATATCCCAAAAACCGCAAAAAACCCCAACCCACAAAAACCCGGGGTGGCGAACCCTGTTTACAATCTACACGTATAGGTTTTGTCAATGCGGTGAGGTGATCATAAATTTGGGATGAAATTGTTCAAATTTCAAATCAATAAAAAAAATTTAGTTTTGAAAGTAGCCCTAAATGAGCTGATGAGCCGTATACAGAAAAGCTGACCCAAAAATTAGGTATGCACATCAATTTAAACAGAAATTTGACCCTGAATTAATGATGATCTCCATTTTGAACCTTAAGGGTCACAGCCAGCCATAAAATATTGAATTAAATACATATGTACGTCGTAAGTGTTAACAAGGCGTCTGTCAATTAAACAGATTTTCTACTGGCAAAAAATAATATTCAATATGGTTTCACCGCTTGGTTACATGTGATTGTAAATTGTAACGGTTTATTTATTATAACACAATTATCACCAAACTCTTGAATAAAAAGAGAGGTAATGAAACCACAAAGTATAATTAATTACTGCTGCAAATTTAATTATAAAACACGGATTTAAATTAAATTAATTATCCCACTCTCGATTACTTACCCAGTATTAAATATCCTTTTAACTAACTGATTGACAAAGTATAAATTCATAACATTGAACAAGTATATACATTTTTTAATTATCATCTTGATTAATCCTCTCCCTCAATCTGTTCATCCATTCGTTCCGAACATTTGGAAATATTGCCGGAAGTCGGGCGGCTTGACGGTATCGAGTTTCAGGTTCAATATCATCCTTCAAAATGGTAAAATTTTCCAGAGTTTTGCAACTTTGTCCTCTTTCTGTAGGCAGCAGACTGTCAATCAGATCGCTGTACGTCTCCCAAAAATCATCTTGATCCGCATCAATCTCGCCATCATCGTCGATATCCTCATCATTATCGCTATCGTCGTAATTATCCGTGTCATTATTGGCACTGTCATGATCCTCATCATTGTCGCCATCGTTGTGGTAATTATGATTATAATAATTATAATCTTCGTCCTCCTCATCCCTCGCAATCCATGGTTCCACAACGATGGAACGAATCGAGGGAAGGTGGCGTCGATAGTCGATCCCGTGTCGATTGAGATCACCACGTGGACTCGGAAATGCGAGGCTCAATCGTGCCTCGTTTCGGATTCGATAGTCTAAGTAATGGTAATCCATGTTATTACTACAAGCTCCAAAGTGAAAATCTAAATTTTCCAATTTAGGGAGACATGGCAGATTCAAGGCGAAACTTGAGTTGTATTCCATTCCATAAGTCGTGACACGAAAGCAAAGAAGTTCCAAGGGGGGGGCGAATTTCTTAAGCAAATTCTCAAAGTCGGGAAGATGTTCTTTCCCCAGTGGTAATGTGAGTGTCAAATTTTTCAGGGGCTGGTCCAACTCGGTGAGAGAATTAATGGCATCCTCTGCCTTGCATGTGAGCGAGATTTCTCTCAAATTTGGATACGCCTTAAGTCCCGTGGTTTGCAACTCTTGGACAAATCTTGACCCAATGAAATCATTGCAGGAAGTAGAGATGGAGGTCGCCTGGGTAATCGCGTCGGCCCAAGTTTTCATCCACTTGGCTCTCAATGAGTCGGGTTCCCAACCTGTACGATTATCCAGCTCGATAGAAAACTTCTTCAGAACGGGGAAAAATAACGCGTCCCGTGTTGAATACTTCGTCTCTTTGTTACCGTCGTGAATTTGCAACTTGACGTCGAGATGTAATTCTTCCAAGGTGGACTTAAATTGACAAGCGGTGTCCAGATATAACTGGTACTCCCGGTCAGAAGTAATGCTCCCCTTCAAGGACAAAGTCTTGGGCTGGTGTCCCCTTCGCAGAAACCACTTCAGATCAGCGACATGCTTAAGTGCCATATTTTCGAGGCCATCCATTTCTTCCGATAGGTTAGGAAAGGTTATCTCCAAGTTTGGCCAATCTGCGACATTTTCCATGTCATGATCATATTGCAAAAGTTTCAGGGAGGGGTTGCAGTCGGAAAAGGGCCAACACCAACACCAAACGTGACAATTCAAATTTATGACGCATTTCTTCCCCAGAATGGGAATCACTTGCTCGTTCCAGTGTCGGCAAACTAGCCGAGCGTTCTTCAAGCCTCCGACGGAGAGATGGGACAGAATTTTCGAGAAAATCTAGAAATTACCAGGGAAAATTATTGTAAATTATTTAATATTTTTCACTGAAAAATTATCATTAAATTATTTCGTAATTCGCGTACCAAATCGTTTTGAAATGCGACATTTAATTCAGCTGGATTCTCCGAGGTACCAATTTCCCCACGGTTATCCCAATTTTCACGGTACCTTCGTTTCTAAGAAAATTTAAACGAAATTTATTAAGCATTACTCAAATTCGTCGATTTTAACTGTATTTTTACTTTAAACGTGAAGATTGCAAGGCCACCAGAAAAGTCTTTGCGAAGCTTCGCGACGGTGAATATATCGCCAAAATTTAGCCTGGTTTTGACTTTGTCGTCAAGCTTAACACCGTTTTGGAAAATTTCGCCCCCCTGTTTTGTGTGTTATTGTTTTGTGATTAGTAAGTAAAATTGTCAGTGAATTAATTAAATTAAATATTGATTACCAACCTCGACAGCTTTGACCCAGTAATGGTACTTTTCGCAAAAGATTTCCAGACCGAAGCTCCAATTCCAGGGGTTTGCTGACTCCTTGATCCTCACCTTTGGCTTCAAAAAGATGAATTCACCCTGCGTCTCCCTCGACGTGCACGTATCGCCGATGGTGTACTGCAATTAAAATATATAATAATTTACAATTAATGACAAGAATTCGCAGCTATTTAATTAGAAATAAAAACAATTACCTTTTGACCATCAATGTAAGGCAAGATAGCCGACCAATTATCCGAGTTGGTGTTAAATTTAGCCTTAAAAACACCATCCGGAATATGAAATAAGTTGGCTGCCATTATTTCGGTAATTTGTAATTCTGCTGCTGGAAATAATTATTAATCTTTGATCTTTAATTTTGAAAAAAGGTTAAATATTTGTTCAATCAAAGTTCAAAGTTCAAATCAAAATCATTAAACTTGCTTAATTTAGCATCATACACAATTAATGGACAAGAAAGACATGTGTACTAATTGCATTTAAATTATATCGTTATTTTTATATGGAGGGCGAAGCCCTCCATTCAATTTTATAAATTGGACCCATAAAGGGTTAAAAATAACGCCAATCTACATAATCAGAAACACGTAATGGAATTAAATTTGTAAAAACTTACCAATTTTTTCGCACGAAATTTACTCTTTATATTTAATTTTTGAAGTTTTATAAGCCAAAGAACAAAAATCTACAGTTGTCCAGAATCTAACACGGCAGTGGATTGGGAGCTTACACGGAAGC